ACACGTATTCGAGTCACCACACTTTAAAAGCCACTTGCATTTGACCTTTTTGGACCTGATCAAAGCTTCAATGAGATTGCCAAGATCCCTTTCACATATTGAGTCTGCCCACAAAAAGTCAGATGCTCCAAGACCTGCGTTACAATCATTAATGACTCAAAGCAGCTAAAGCATGATTTGAACATTAAGAACTATCTTTTAAAATGGCACCTGAAGATTAGTCTAAACAAACTTACACTTCCTGACAAAGTTGCCAATGTGTTTAATTTTCATTAAAGCAGGGTTTCTGCATTCTTCAAAAAGGACGAATAAGGAATCAAGGATGCCTTCCCGGGAGAGAGGAGACATCTGCTGTTGAGTTACAAAGAGTGGCTTCCCCTGGAAAAAAAAAAAAGGAAGCAACAGCAGATGGAGTCTCAGACAACAATGAAAAGCCTCAAATCAATAACATATGTATAGAGCTGATTATATATTATTTATTTAAAAATCACTACTTCAGAAATCAGACAAACAATGCAGAAATGTGAGGTAAATATAACAACTCGCTATATCTGTCTGTAATAGCTGCTACAGGTATTTCATCTGTAAGAAAACCAATCCTTTAAAGATTATTAAAGTTCAAATCACAGCTTTCCAGAAACTATCTACACCCTACCGATAGCCCTGATCCCCCTAGCTTCTTCCTTGACATTGTACCATGAGGGTTTTTCTCATGGTATAAATAGTTTAAGCAGTCAGTATCAAAATTAGTTCTAGAAGGAAAAGCTGCTGATCAAATTCTCCAGTGATAAAATAGCAGCTGGTTAGGTAAATCCATCTCAGGGCAAAACCCTCAGCTACATCACCTACGAAAAACCGCAGATTACAGGATGCAGAATGCAATATTCCATCATCATGGGGGAAAATGCACTTCAGGCTATAATATTAACAGATCCCTGGTGGTGTTAGAGGCCAGGTTGGACAGAGCCTTGGGTGACATGGTTTAGTGTGAGGTGTCCCTGCGCCTGGATGATCGTAAGGCCCTTTCCAACCCTAACTGTTCTATGGTTCTATGTATATAAACTGTCCATCAAACTTTGTGCAAAGTAGATCCCCCTTTGATCTCCAACTAGTTATCCCTTTCTTTTACCCCTTCCTCCCAGGAATGACGCACTGTTATCAAATGTTAAGAAGCTGAAGTGGCAGATGGGGAGAGCAGAGGAGAGAGAGAAAACTGTGCAGTTTATAGGATAAATACAAGCAAAACTGTGTTTCAATACATTGGACGCAGACAATGATCCCAGCTAATCCCACGCCAGGCACTCTTTACCTGGAAGAGCAGATTTAGCCGAGAAACTCGGCTGGTGATGGGCTCCATGGATCCGGCCTCTGCCAGGTTTCGGGCACCGCATTTAAACTTCAACATCTTTACAGGTTATCATGTGTAAAAGATCCCCTGAAAACAGAACGGGGACGTTCAGGCAGAGGTACTTGGACAGCTGACTTGAGATAAAACACGGCGATGAGAGGCTATAACACGAACAACACTTTTATTTCCTCAGAAACAACATTTATTAGAAGGAGGGAGTTTGAACGCAGCCGCAGTGTCACCGCATGTGCTGGGAACGTCGGGAAAATGAACGTTGACAGCGAGTAGCCCCAGATGGCAGCGGCGGTTCCCTCAGCCCCACTGCCTCTCAGCCCCGGGCTCCCCTCAGCCCCGCTCCCCTCAGTCCCGCACCCCACTCAGCCCCGCGCTCCCCTCGCCTCAGCCCCGCTGCCCCTCAGCCCCGCGCTCCCCTCTCGCCTCAGCCCCGCGCTCCCCTCTCGCCTCAGCCCCGCGCTCCCCTCTCGCCTCAGCCCCGCGCTCCGAGCTCCCCTCTCACCTCCTCCCCGCTTTACCGCCAGCCAGGTTTGAACGGAGCCAGGGGCGTGTCCCGGCAATCATCACTTCCGATGACGTACCCTGCCTCAGCCAATCGCCAGGCCGGCCTGGCCGGAAGCGCAGTAGTCAGGAGGGGCAGCGTCCCTAGAGGCGGGGTTGAGGCCCTTGGGGACGGCGGTGGGGCGGGCCGGGCCGGGCCGTTAACGGCTGTAACCGTCTGCGTGCGGCGGGGAGCGGGGCAGGACATGGCCGGGGTGTCCGCCCTCCGCACCGGGGAGCCCGCGAGGGGCGGCTCCTGCTCGGTCGGGGCAGGTGGCGGCTGCCGGGTGGTGCCGCCGCTGCCGGTTCCATAAAGAGTTTTCCGCTTGGCCTGCGGGTTAGCGGTGCGTTAATCAATCCTTGCTCCTTTGGCAGAGGTTAAAACACAGAAATGACTCATTCTCAATGGCTCTGGCTGGAGCTGGTTCAACCACAGGCCACACGTCATAGCTGGCAGGGGCTGAGCCCGCGGAGGGCAGGCAGAGGGGAAATGGAGATGTTTTCAGAAGCCTTAAGCTTTTTTCTGCAATGTATTTGACCTTATGTCCCTTTGTGCGTGTGTGATACATGCGGCCGTGCTATTCATCCGCAGGGTAATTGGCTTTCAAGGGGAGCAGCGGAGAAACGCTCCAGCTCGGCATCCCCTCCACAGTGCCTACGTGCCACCCATCAGAATGTGCCGTGGAATGCAGCATGACCTTGCTGAGCGGCGGATCCGCGCAGTGATGTCAGTGGGGAGCAGCAGCACCGAACACGATGCTATCTGCAGACAGCACAGTTCTGCAAACCGCGAGGTGCTGTTCCCGGGGACAGGTCACTGTTACACAGCACCCTGGCAGGATGTAAAGCTGGTAATAGGAGCTAGGGGGTGGGATTCCTTACAAATGATCAGGTTGCTGTGTAGTGACGCAAACCGTGATGTTTTGCTACCTAGCAATCAGTTTAATTACACTAATACTGGCTTGGCATCTCGCTGATAAAGTAATGCACTGATGGATTTGTTATATTATGGCTTTATACAAATCACTTTACAGATCTGTGCTTCCTCCCACCTCTTCCAGTCCACCCCTGGAACACTGACAGATTTTTGGTGTATTTCTTGTCTCAAACTTCCATATCTGTGTTCATTTCAAGTTATTAAACCTGAAAGACTTTTTTAAATCTAATTTATTGTCCACTGCACTGCCAGTTTGCTTTTTGGACTTCACTCAGGTCGCTGTCATTGCCCATGTCTCATCCCCAACTGCATTGCACAGGAGAGATCAGCTCTATAAAAGAAGGGCAAGAAAGAGCTTCCTTTTCGTAAACTGGTTAGTTTTCAGGCTAGTGCATTTCACTACAATACCACATCCTACCTTTGTATTGAGAACCCTGTCATGTCTAAGGGTATTCTGTCCTAGATTTTGGAAAAGTCTCATTGTCTGCCACCCAAACAAGGAAGACTTCATCATAATAATAGAAGAGTTTGGGTTTGGAGGAATCTCAAAGATCATCTCATTCCCCCACCCCTGCCACAGGGCAGGGATACCTTCCACTTGTTCCAAATCTCACTTTAGGCTTCTCTGCCTTTCCCTTTCTCCCATGCAAATGTCATTAGGCCCCTCTTTTTTTCTTAATTGCCAAAACTCCTATTCTATATCCACAATGTTTATAATGCCACCTGGGAAATTACCACATCTGAACATTAGATTTAGAAAATGGGGGAAGAGGAAGAGCTGGGTTCTCTTTCTGACAGCTCATTGCCATATTGTTCCCATTACCTTGTTCAAATAACAAGGTAACACTTTCCCTTCGACAACATCACCACTAGTGCTGGGCTCCCCCAGTATCCCAGATGTGATCAGCCAGGTGAGCTGCTTGGCTGCAAAGTCTGCCTCAGGTGGGGAACTGGCCTCTCAACTGCTCAGTGGCTCCAACGATAGTGAGTTCAGGTGCTACAATTTTCATGTTTTATCACTTATTTTTTAATATATAAAGATTTCTTTGAATACTGTTGAGTGCTTGCAAGCAAGGAAGCTGGCTGTTAAAAGCATGGTTTGGGACAGTGTCCTGGGTTCAGCAGTAGCAGTCATTTTTTCTCCTTCTTGATAGCTGGTGCAGTGCTGTGGTTTTGACTTTCAGCCTCGGAACGGTGCTGATAGCACCGATGTTTTTAGTTACTGCTCAAATGTTTGGTCTGGCCAAGGACTTTCTGAGCCTCCTGCTCTGCCAGGGAGGAGGGGAAGCTGGGAAGAAGCAGAGACAGGACACCTGACCCAAACTAGCCAAAGAGGTATTCCATACCACAGCACGTCATGCCCAGGATGTAACTGGGAGTTACCCGGAAGGCGTAGGACTGCAGGGTTGAAGGAGGTATCGGTCAGTGCTTGGTTGGGCTGGGGGGGCGAGTTATCGGTCAGGGGGTGGTGAGGTGTTGTATTCTCTCGCCTTGTAATTTCCTTTATCATTATTATTATTGGTGGTAGCAGTAGTGATTTGTGTTATATCTTAGTTACTAAACTGTTCTTATCTCAACCCATGAGAGTTGCATTCTTTTGATTCTCCTTCCCATCCCTCCGGGAGCAGGGGGAGGGCAAAAAGGGGGGAAGTGAGAGAGCAACTGAGTGATTTATGGCTGGCTTTGTTTAAACCACGACAGACAGGTACAATTTTCCTCATAATTTAGGTGAGGGCTCACGTTAGATTAGTTCTGTTTAAGAAGGCCCTTAAATATGTACTTTGCTAGAAGCAGCCATGTGGTACAAGACCACTTACTGGTTTTTCTCCTTTGTGTAAGAGACTCACATAAACAAGAATGTCTACCAGCAAAATTAAATAGTAGCATAAAAATACAGCTGCCCCAGAATTGTTGTCAAACGTTAAGAAGCTGCAGTGGCAGATGGAGGGAGCAGAGGAGAAAGGGAAAAGCTGTGCAGTTTCCATGCTAAAACCTCAGTACCCATTTGTGATGTCTCAGGTAATAAATAAATAAATAAATAAATAAATAAATACCTTTTCAGAAGAACATGTATTTTGTTTTCCTTTCAATTGCTGCTCTGAAGTCTTCAGCATGAAAGCAATGATTCCTTCATACATACGATCTTCCTTTTCAAGAGCATTCATAGCACACTATGTCTTTGTAATGGTCAGGTTACATATCACTCCTTGATCATGACAGCTACTCCTGTGGATAAACTTACTCAACCTGAGGGATCAGCAGCAGACCTGCAATTGTACAAAACAAGGACTTATTCCCTGCTATTAAATTAATAGGTCATTCAAAAGCATAACAGAATAAATAGCTCTAAGATTTTCCCTAAACAGGTTCCAGTGTGGTGCTCAACATGTTTTGACATCTTACCATGCACTGAATTGGTTACCATCTGTGTGGCATTTTTATTGTAAGAGTAGTGGCTTCCATTTATTTCCTCGGCCAAAATTCCCCTCCCTCATGCCATTGGATAGTGCACCAAGGTGACTGTGTTCCAAAGATTGCTTCTCACTGTACCATCCTTGCTCAGGATCGATAGACACCAAGTTAATGGAAAAGGAAAAGATCAGACATGCAGGTATGCCAGCTTTTTGCCAAGAACCCAGCACTTGGATTTGCATCCAAAATAACACTGTCATATTTTAATGGGCAGAAAGATGCTAGATCCCCCTTAACACCTTCTGGCTGTGAACTCCTGTATTTACAGCAGCATCACTCTTAAATATCTTCATCTTTGGAGCAGCAAGACGCTCGTGACTGCTCCCAGGATGCTCACTTCCCAAGATTTACATATGGCTAGAAGGCGATTAAAAGGGCTTGTGCTATCACAAATCTAAGAGCTAAGCATGACCAAAATTTTCCTACATGGAAATCTCTTCAGCTCCATTGTTTCCAAATATTAATGCTGATTATTCATGTACACTGGTAGCAGTTACCAACCTAGGCTTCCATAGGATGTGGACCCCAGAAATAAATTCTTGGTTTCAGTAATTCTTTTGTTGAATGTTACAGATGGCCTTTACTGTACTGATCTATATGCCCATGAAAACAAAAGATTAATGACCCCTTATCAGCTATATCCCTGTCTCTAACTCACCAGTATTTAAGAACTCTTGTAATAAACCAAGCTCCTGCACTGGATGATCTTCAAGGTCTCTCCAGCTCAAACCATTCTGTGATTCTATGGTTCTTCTCCCTAGCCCTAACTCTAGTTATAGCTGGTTACCACTCTCGGTATCAAAATTTAGGGTTGAACTTGGCTGACTTGAATGCTACCATAAACTCTTGCCAGCAGTAGCTCTCACCATCACTTAACGGGACCTAAATAATCCTTAGATCCTAGGCACACTTTTCCTACTTTCCCAAATTATCCCAAAATACCCAATTTAGATATAATAGCCATGCACTCTACAGGGGGTAGAAACATTTGCGCAATACGTCTTCAGGAATAACAGTTCTGGATGAGGGAGAAAGGTGTGAAGGCAAAGAGAAACAACTGCTAGGAAAAGAATGATGTTGTCTTTCCTTGAGCAGTATTTTTCATTTCCTCCTCAGAATTCCTGGAAGAAGACCACTCTGCAATCATTCGCCTCGAATAAGCACAAAGGAAATGAAACTTTAAAAGACCTGAATGGCTGTTAGGTGTTTCTTCCATTGACTTCCACTAGAAGTTAGGTACAGAGCTACCTCTGATAATGTTCTTTAAGGTTATTTGGATTTAAATATTAAAGGCCTTTTTCATTTGTGTTAGCAACCTTATAACAGTATTATATAAGTGCTAATGTTCACTGGGTTTTTTATACATTGCTTTATATTTCCAGAGGTAAAATCCATTAAAATAGTGGCTTAAATCCACATGGTAGCCTCCATTGTAGATATGTGGCCATCATCTCTCATTTAAAAAACACAGACGTGATGCTTGTCAGTTTGCTACCAAACTCTCCTAACATACACCCAGGTGCCGAATTTCTTCATAAGCCAAAATTGCACTAAATTTCTAAAGTGACCAAAATGAAATGGGAACTGAATTGGGTCATAACATTTATCCTAAAACATTTATCCTAAAACAAATACCTCATGACTTGCTGGAGAAATCATTGATTAACTTTCAGATGCTGTGAAAAGCAATTGTTCTTTTACATATCTCAGCTTCAGGCTTCCTTTGTGCTATTGCAGGAACACCCCTGATTCCACAAAAATTGTTTTAGAGAAAGCAATTTATTAAACCTCACGATCTGTCAAGACACATCAATATTGATGTGTTCACATTAACGTCTCCTGCAGCAGCTGAAAACTGGATTTGTCATGGAATTATTAATGGGAATTACGCATTGCAGAGCAACAAGTGACAGGGGCTTAATTAAAGCAAAACTGACAAAGTAGCTGAGCAACTGTAATAAATGTTTTGTTTTAAATGTAGCTAAAGAACTACTTGAATGTTTTCATTGCCATGGAAAGGCAGGCAGTGACAAACTCTGTGTTAGAAGATAAAGCCTAGACTGGCACAGGGGTAGTTTAGCATCTGGAAATTGCATGGAACAAAATACTCAATTATTCTGGAGGTTAGATATGGTAATCATGTAAGTGATGGCCTTATCAAAGTATAGTTTAACAAGATTTCAAAAGAAATACGGACTCAGATACCTTTACAGTGAAGATACCTAATTCTTTTGAGAGAACAATTCAAACATATTACTAGAATTTAATCTTATTTCGGTTCTAGGGTGAACGAATTCTGGATGCTCACAGGAGGACTTTCTTCCTTGCTTTAAATCAACAAATCCACAGGAAAGACACCCTTTAGTTTACTACAACAATGATTTGCTTGCTTGTGGGATGCTCATAAGTGCTTCATTGCCATGTGTTGGAATTCCATTTAGAAACCTGGCATTCCCCAGCCTCTTGTGGGCTGAAGAGCATTGTGTATCCTGATTTGTGTGAAAGAATCTCTGACTCAATCCAGTCCATGTGCTATATTTGGAAACTGAAAGTCTGACCATCATCAAGAGAATGCGAGATCAAGATTCATTCTGTTTCAGTATAAGTAGTAGGCTCTTTGTTGATCTCTGTCTCTGATATCAGCCAGAAACTGGGATGTGCCAGACACATCTCCTGTGCAGATGAGTGGCAGAGCCATTTCTACCCATAAAGCTCTTTGGCTGACTTCCAGAAAGGTGTAAGAATCTGATTTAAGAGTTAGCTAGATGGTGTTGAAAGAAAGATACTTGTATGTCACTAATACTGTTGTGATTTTGGGGAGAACAGGTCTGATTTTGATAGGGAGTTTTCTGGAATAAGTAAGGTGAGATGAGAAATGGCAGGCAGCCACGTGGGGAGGGAAGCATCACTAAATCACTTTTCCACTGGAGTGGAAAACATCCCCCTTTTTGAAACAGGAATGTTTGTTCGTTTGGTTTGGGGTTTAGTGTGTTAGGGTTTTTTGAACAGGTCAGTTCAACACCAGTTGCAAACTCCAGTTCAGCTGGGAAGAGCCTGCTCATACCAAATCCACACACTGAGGCAATTGCCCCTGTAGCTGCTGTAGAAGTCATTGGGAAATAGAAGGTGCTTTCCTGCAGCCTCCTGTTGGCTGACAGATGTAGCTACAACATACTGCAGAGATCCAAGATTTGTTATCTACAAGCAAAATAAAACCACACATTCTTGTACCCAGTTTAGTAAGACAAATACTGTCAGGCTGAAGCATCAAAAGTATTAAAATAGATTAAGATACAGAGGTAGACTTGGCTTCCTCATGTAACAATTTGAAAGAAATTCTGTTGCCTTTTGAAGATTTATTCTAATAATTCCAGTAAACAGTAATCTGTGCACTGCAGCCTTGGAGTCATGGTGGCAAGAATGAATAGGGTAGAAAAGAACAATAGCAGCACTTTGCTCAGAGTATAAATAAAGGCATCAGATGAGGCAATGACAGCCTTGATGTAGAAGGACTCTTACAGGTAAGACTGAAAGAAATTTAGATGTGATTGCCTGTCTATTTTCTAATTTGGAATCACGATTTTGGTACTTTACAGATTTAAGATGTTCTTGCTCTGAGTGGGTGTGTTCATTCCTGTCTTGAAGGGCTCAGCAATGACAGCCTACATGTTACTTTATTTAATTCTTCTAGAATTAGTTCTATACTCTTTGCTTGGAGGCCAAGAAATATTTTACAGTGACTATTGTGGGATTCTGATTTTTAAACAGCTTTGCCATGGTAAGAATTGTGATGAATAAGTGATTAAGAGGTAACACTGACAAACAGTGAAGTAACTTCATGTTCATATGGGAACTGAATGACAATTTCTGGCTGCTCTGGAGGTCCCTGCATGGTCAAATCACACTTTTTGGAGCACTGTTCACCATTCCTGATGGGGACTGGCCTGGCTCATGTTGTTTCTTTACACTTTTAAATTTCCCTTGCCACCTGGAAAGAGAAGGCTACAAACCCAGTGTGTACTTCCTCAAACAAACACACACACACAAAAGCATGGTGGGAGGTTGGTGCAGTGATGCAATGTTCATGGTCTGCCAGTGAATTGCATTTAGCTATTTTTAGCCACGGGCTGGATACTAAAATACAAGTCTTGAAAGAGGAATGGAAACTCCATGCAAAAGAGAATAAACATTTCCTGCAAAAAAAAAAAAAGGGTTAAGGCTACCTTTCTTTTTCCTTTTTTTTCTCTGTGTTTTTAAAGTACTGCAGATGGGCTTCAAGTTTGAAATTGCTTCTTAATAAAAGATGTTATTCTGCTGTTTCAAATTCCTCTATAATTGAATGAATTACATAAGTACTGAAGTAGAATATTTTCTCCTTTCTGCTCTTCCCAGCACTCTGCTATCCAGTTTTCTTCAGAGGAATGCGTCTTGTGCATTGATTCTCTGAAATTCTGAAATGGATCAGATGCAGCATTCATTTAATTGTGCCAGTGGATGAAAACAGCTCATAGCAATTACTTTCTTGGAAATAAAGGTAGAGGTGCAGCCCTGTTGGGGTATTACAATTCTTAAGCCTTTTAAACATGAAGCAGAAAGTAGTCAGCTTTTCATACCAAGCAATTACTAGGAAAAGCCTAATAGCCAACCTCAAAATGACAAAAAACAAACCCACAACACTCTACGCTCAGTAGTTATTTGTTAACACCCTTTCTAAAGCAGAACACCAGCTACCACCTAAAACCCTCCAGAAAACAGCAGTAAAAACAGCAGAGGAGCCTGGGTTCTGCATCAACTCAATCCATCATGAACAGATATTAGGAAATAAAGATTTTTACATTTCAGAATACAGGATGCTGAAATAAAAGAGTATTTGCACAGGCGCTGCAGTTTGTTGCACTTCTCTCTATATTCTCCTGGGTTTCATTCTGATGCTTTTCAGTACCTCAGAAAGCATCAGAAGATGATATATCATCTAGTTCCTGTGCCTAAGAACAGCTATTTTCCTCTTGAAAAGAGTTCTTTAAATCCTACTCGCTTTCTGTTTTGCCAAGCTGGGATTCTTCAGTACTAAACTGCACCAGAAGCACAGACAGGCATTGCTGGCAGTGCTGTTCAGCAGCTGTGTAGAGCCTGCTAAAGGATGGCTATTCTAGAGCCAGTCTTCCCACTTATACATAGCCTCTTAGGGCAAAAATGCCATCTGGACATTCAAAAAGATCCAATAAACAGGCCAATACAAGGTATTTATAAAGGATGAAGGTGCAGGAACAGCATGTCTCAGCACCCTGTCATCAACCACCCAGCTGTGGTACAAGCAGAAGGACACACAACTCCCACAGCATGAATCGGGAGTACCAACACATCAGAATATGGCAACTGCTAAATAGCATCTTCCTTTTCATCCCTGACAAGTCTTTTGGAAGGGGCTATTTCTGCCCAAGCTGCATATAAATTGTAGGTTGTTAGGAGATTGATGCTTTCTCTGTACAGTATTTCACACCAAAGCCACAAGACTGCAGGACTTGAATCGTAAAGCATAAAATAATCAATGAGCCTGGGCAGGTTGTGAGGCTCAGGGACAGATTTTCAGTGCTTATATGGCTGTATTTTAATTCAGGCAAAAATAGTTAATACCACACTTGCATGCAAAAAGGAGTCATCTGCTTCTTATCTAATGTGTAATTCAATAATTCCTATAATTGATCTTCATTGACAGTTGATGCAAGCTTCCTCACCCACACTGCACATATTGTGCTTCCTGACAGAATTCCCAACATAGACTATGATATTTCAACAGAGGAAGCATGTTAAATCAGGTCAAACAAAATAAAGAATCCAAAGCTGCCACAAGTCCCTGCAGCTGTTTGTCTTTTCGCCCCTTTCTGCCCCCAAAAAAGAATCCTAACTATTGGTATTTTTGTAATGGGCTAAAAATACAAAAACCAGTTTGGGTAAATGTTGATAGAATTCAGAATTTAAAAATATCATTTTTTTCCCCTAGATGCTGGACTATTACTGTTGATGAGGCAAAACTGCCAGGCTTTACTGTTTCCACGTGGTTTAATTTTCCCTGCAAGTGCCATATGTATTCTAATGATCTGCTGAATGAAATGAATCCGAAATGGGTTCCCAATTGATGAGACACTGTTTCTTTGAAAGGCCAATGAAGGACATTTTCTGTCATAGACAAAGCAACACAAAGCTGATGGAGATGATAATGAGTCTTCAGGTGTCTGAAAGTCTGATATGTAATTTCAGAGAAACACAAACAATAGATGCATTTCCATTTACAATTATAGTAAATAAAGAGGAACATAATGGTTCTGTTTTTATAAAGACAATAACTTGCCTAGCCAGCATTCTCCAACTATTTCAAACGACTCTTCTTGTCCAAAGAACTGAGATACAAGAAGAGTTTTATTAGTCTATGACTAATAGATACAATTAAAAGCAACAGAAAGCCAGACAAAGTTAAATAGAAGCATTCTAAAATACTAGCCACAAAAGGCTGAAAGAGCACTTCCAGGGCACATGCTAGCACAGAGGAATCCCTGGTTTCATTTCCTATATATATAAATAAAACCCCAGCTTTTTAAACAAAGCATTATTTGAAGCTCAAAGCAAGGCACTTTTCCAAATACATAGATTCCTTTATTACAGATTGTCCTGGGTTCAGCAGTAGCAGTCACTTTTCTCCTTCTTAGTAGCTGGTGCAGTCCTTGTGTTTTTGACTTTCAGCCTGGGAACAACACTGATAACACCGATGTTTTTAGTTGGTGCTCAGTAATGTTTACTCTGATCAAGGACTTTTCAGTCTCATGCTCTGCCAGTGAGGAGGGGCACGGGAAGCCGGGAGGAAGCAGAGACACCTGACCCAAACTAGCCAAAGGGGTATTCCATACCACAGCACGTCATGCCCAGGATAGAAACTGAGGGGAGGTACCCAGAAGGCCCAGATCGCTGCTCAGGTCAGGCTGGGTATCAGTCAGTGGGTGGTGAGTGATTGCATTGTGCATCACTTGTGCTTATTGTTTTCTTTTCCTTTTCCCCTTTTGGTTTTATAGTCTCTGCCCTTGTTATTCCCCTTATCATTATCATTATTGGTGCTAGAAGTAGTGGTTTTGTGTTATACCTTAGTTACCAGACTGCTCTTATCTCAACCCGTGGGATTTACACTTTTGATTCTCCTCCCCATCCCTCCGGGAGTGCAGGGGAAAAAGAGGAGGAGTGAGCGAGCAGCTGCATGGTTCTGAGTTACCGTCTGGGCTTAAACCATGACACAGATTCTCTTTCCAATGGTAAGAACTAATTCTGCAACAGCTGAGGAAATGGTTCCCATAAAAAAAATAGCCTCCTTCACCCACCAGCCTTTTCCCCCATCAGCTGGGGCAGACTCTCAGCCTAACCACCAAAGGTGCTGCTGATCCATTTCCCAATTCCTGATGGCTACAGCACTTCAGGTTACTTATGCTACACCTTGTGGATGTAGTAAGTCACCAGGAGAAAAAGGGAAGGAACCAAGGGTGGCACATGTACAGATGCAATAAAAATCACAGTAGCCTGCTCTTACCATTCATGCCTACAGCAAGGTCCTCGGGAGGCTTCTGTACAGGAGAAGGATGTTGGTGTCCTCCAAAGAATAAGACAGTATTTCATGAGCTTTGTTGATGTGTCGTTCTATGTGGAAGCATCTTCTTTTCCCAACAGAGTAACTTCTGAAACAACGAACAAACAAAAATGCTTGAAGGGCAAACCCATGAATATTTAACTTTTTTTTTATATATAGGTTACTCTTTTGGGGTTAAAAAATGGAGTAAAACTGACCCAGTGGATATCGTACATGTCACTACACCGAATAGCACAAAACCAACCCAGGGAATAGCTAGAATTGCTAGCTCTGGGCCAGACTATGTGGCACAGGGAAGCCATATAGCCTCTTTCAGGAGGACACTTTAAAAGGTAGTTACTTCTCTCTCATTTGGCTTTTGCTGAAATTTCTTCATTTAAAGATACATTTGCTGAAGCAGTATTCATCTCTGAAGGCAATGTCTTTGAATCAAAACAGTGAGGGAAAACACAAACATGTATTAAGTTCTTGCCATAAAGCTGTATCTGACACTAACCTAAAAAGGGATGATTAAAACAGGCAAAATTTATATTCATTTAAACTAAGATGTTCTTTTCATAGTAAAGTGTTTCTGAAAGAAACTGGATCCCCAAGTACGTGGGGAGCTGATGAAAGCTAGCCCGCAGCCCTGGGAGAATGCAGGCAAGAAGGCTTCCTGCCCAACAAGGTTGATTCCATGTAGTTCAAAAGATCTGGTCAGGCAAAGGTCTAGAAGCTTTATAAAACAACCTGATCTCCAAGTGAGAAGAGAATCACAGTCCAAAGCACAACAGGTATGAAAGGGCAATCAGCCAAAGCAAGCTCTGCTGGAGAGCCTGAACTGCTGTAGGGTTTTATCATAGTCTCTCCATCGAAGAGAGCAAAATATGCCCTTGATCTCTATATCCTTTAACGACAGCCCATCAGTGTTCATCAATCCCAATAAATAACATTTGGCTTTATTTTTTGTCACCTCTCTGCTTTGTCATGTTTCAGGTCACACTGCTTTCACACGCTCCATGGGTGACACTGACTGTGGACTCAGACCAAGGCTGCACTAAGCGTCCACAGACGTCATTCCCAATGGGACTGAGCTTGCCTAGTCTCTGCAGCACAGAATCTATAAAGCAAAATTTAAAATGAGAAACAAGAATAGAAGATACTTTATTAAGGTAATGTTCATATCCATATTTCACCCCCATATAGAACGTGTGTGGGTGAATATTAGATTTAAACAGTTAATGCTGAATATGTTAGTGATGAATATGGTCTATGCACTTCCTGAAATGTCTAGAAGTATGCAAAGAAATTGTATGGGAAAGGCAAAACAAAAAGAGAAAGGAAACTGTTAAGGTTTATTTTCAGGTCACATACTGAATGAAGGTTTGGCTTTTCCATAGAACACCCACACCCATGCAGCAGAGCAAAGATTGCGATGAATGTGATACCCAGAGTATCACAACTTCCTCCATGGTTGTTTGTTTCCTATAATGTAGTTAGTTAATTAGATCTCCTCTAATCAATCACTGAGCTACAGCTTCAAAAGGCACTATGATCTGATGAGAGCACCTCACAGCACTGAGACACTTTGATTTTTCTGTCCCAACACATTTACGGCTCATGTGAATTAGGTCCTCTGGTAGGAATAAAGAAACACTTTGTCTTTTTTAAATTACAAGGACAATTTCTCTCACAATTTATAAACTGACCAGTAAAATTATTGTAATATGGATTCATTCTCTTCCCTTCTCCTTTCTGATATCTAAGACTAATCGCTTTCATGCTTTCCATGTGTCATGCTTTGATCTCAAGCTCTTTGGAGCTGCAGCCTTCTCTCTTGCTCATGTTTTATTCAGCCCTTTCAATACCATTGCCAATACTCATCTGTGACTTCAGCTGTGTTATAGCATCTCCTTCCTTGGTCCTCAGGAGTCTGTCTCAAAAACCAAAGAAGTGTGGTCATTAGAGGAAGACATTAACAGGATCTCTTGTTTTCCTCTCATGACTTGGCTCTTCAAGATAAATTGAGATGTAAGGGCTAGAAGACTGTAGGTTGCAACTTCAGCATCAGACTCATATGTGACCTAGCATTGGGAACTGTTGGCCAGTTACTGCCAACTTCTCTAGTCTTCATCCCTCTGTGACAGGGGAACAGTGATCCCAGGACAGTGTTACCCCAAGATGCACCTCATTATAGTTCCTACAAGGATCTCTGGGCTCCTTGGAAAGCAGACACTACAGGAAGAAATGGTGTGCAGGGTTAGGAAAGTGTGGTTGTGCTGCCTTTCCAGAAGCAGATGACATCACATGTATAATATTAAGGGATCTTTGCATAGTGCCATACAGAGTTCTTCTGCTAGCAGTAAAGCAGACAAAAAAGCTCTCAAAGTCATGCTTCTGTTAGTGATACAAGTCCCCAACCAGGGAGAAAAGATGCATTAATCTTTTTGAGCGCTATAAATGATGGAAAATAATTTACTTTTTAATCCTAAAGAAAGGCATTTGCCAGAAGAAGGAGAGCTGAAGCACAGTATAGGAAGTTCTGCAATTGTCTTTCCAGAAGGTTAGTGCAGCCTGTAGGTAATTAAACAACAGAAACCAATACCCATGATTCAGCAGTCTGTCTTAGCTATTATTTGGCAATTCTTTTTCTCTTGAAAATTCTAATACATAAATATGAGCTTAAAATGGAAAGGAATCATTACAAGTTTCATTTCATTGTGAATTGTCCTCATACAGCAATATGCAACCACATTTATAACAAAACCCTACAAAACAAATCTCTTTTACTGCCAGCTGAAGCCGATGGGCACTCTCGCATCACCAAGTGTGCTGGTTTGAATGTGAATGTACTCCCTGCTACGTGGGCAGCAGACCCCAGAGAGATGAGGCACCAGTCTGGCAGCTCTCCATTCTGTGAAGCAGAAAGGTGCTGACAAACTGAAGGGGATTTAGAAACCAGAAACTTCAAGAAGAAGATGCAGGATTTTCATCGTTCTGGAGAGATTAAGCCCTGAGTATTTTTATAGCAAGGCTGATCACAGCTCCCACATTAAACCCCGCTACTCAGGGAAACAGTTCCTCATCTGGAAGCTCTCTTCCTAATGCTTGCAGTGTTTCCCATGGCCCAGGGCAGCAGAAGAAAGACAGATTTCCAGGTGCCCTCCAGAGCCAAAAGGAGGACAGGCTCCTGCTCTGAACCACCAGGCAGAGCCACTTTTCCTGGGGCTCAGGCTGATGTCCCTGTGTGGCCCTGTCCTGTGGTATTCACAGATGCTTCACATTCCATAAGGTATTTCAGGAGGAATGGGCCTTTTCAATAAAAGCCACTTGGACTTCTCCAACTTAAATATTAAGAAGTTTTGTTACTTCTTTCATTCCTTTTTTAGTGTTGGTTTCTTTCTGAACACCCATTTCATCTGGTTTTCGTGAGCTAGTGTTTAGTAAATGTTATGAAGCAAGTCCGTATCTGTTCACTATTAAGAAGCAATACCTGTCTTTGCCAGCTTGAACTGATATGGGCAAGGTGAAAAACAGGAACATTTCCAAGTATGATCCTGTTACCAGAACACACACTGATAGACATCTGTCCCTGTCTGCCCCTGCCTGCAGCTGCATCTGGATGCCAAAAAGATCAGGCCTTTAAGTTCAGGCTTAGGATTAATGAGTATAAGGTAACAATGCTTTTTTAGTATCTAAACTGTTTAAAAGAAACAGAAGTAAAGAAACCACAGCTTGAAAGCATAAAAAGGAGAAGGATACTGGGGAATAGCACTAACTCTTGTTAATACAGGGTCCCTCAGCCATGCAGAAAGAGCTTCAGCTAACCAAGAGCAACTGAATTACTTCACTGGACTTCCACCTACATGTTTATTGCAGTTCATGCACTTGAAACATGCTGAAGAAACAGCTCTGGGGATGAAACACTGCTCCTCCCGTAGGTAACAGCTGCTCCAAAAGCTCTCTCAGAAAGCTTTTGTGCTGCACATATCAGGGTGCCTCCAACAGGGCAGGATTGTCAAGCTCCTCACTGGGCAACATGGTCTAGGGTGAGGCATCCCTGCCCATGGCAGGGGGTTTGGAACTGGATGATCTTCAATTGGAACTAGATGATCTTTCCAACCCAAACCATTCTATGATTCCATTGTGTGACAGTTCAGGCTCTGTGATTTTTTTCCAGGTGCTTGGGGTCAGTAAATAAAGGGATTCCTTTGCACCAGTTGAAAGTGTAGATTTTGTCAGGACAAAATACCTCAAACCAAAAACCACTCAAGGCTGGCCATTCCCTTATTTGAAGGCAAAAAGCATAGCAGTAGATGGAAAGGAAACTCTTACACACACAGCCTCTCTGAAATGTTTAAATGATTGAACAGAAGCAAGAGGCTCTTTTATCAGATTGATAATGCCTTGCATTGCCAGTCCCCCATAAATCTTGGTCTCGAAGGCAAAAGGATGCATCCTTCCTGCCACAGCCACATGCAGCATTGACCAGCACACAGCCAGGGCAAGGGTTTTGGAGCTCATGAGCCCTGCAGATGGAGCACACAAATGTTCTCCCAGTCTGGCAAGGTTGGGGGGGGGGGGGGGGGGGGGGTCACCTAAACACAGGCAGGAACAAGCTCAGCTTCAGTTGTGCATATCCCACTGGTCACACGTTCTCTAATGAGGGACAACAACTGACAACAACTGCTGGGATTTGCAAAGGAGTTAATGGGCCCTAAGGATTAGTCATCACACAAATAAATATAGAGCTAATTAAAACCTGGTTATCCTATACTTTCAAACTTTCTTCCCAAGAAGTGAATCAGGCCTCTCTTCAGATCATTTACAGAATACCAGTTCCCATAACAACATAACTGCTCAATGAAGCAAAAATACCTGGCAGAGTTGCCATGAAATCATTGACCACCACAGTGAGTGAAGGAGACAGCATTAAAGCCAAGATGGCTTCATGTCAACATGGTCACTTACAATCCAACAATGCTACATCAAAGACCATCATTCCTAATTACAGAGTGCAGCATATCCATAAGAAGCAGATAGTGATACCGAACAAATATTTTTCCCCTACAACAAACCACAAAGTCATGTCCAGTCATTTAATGGTTGGAGAACTCCATGGCCAACACCAGGACAGCTAATTTTAGGACCTAATGGTTTCCTATAAGGAAACGCAAGCAAAACATCTCACTAAGTTTGTGTCTTCATATGAGCAAAGGCACAGGCTACTTTTTCCTTTTTAAGAGGAGTGGTTGTTCCACAAAGACTTTGTCAAGCATTTGTCATGTTGTAAGATTCAAAAGTGAGTAACTCACACCCACTGCTGAAAAAAACCTGTTTCATTAAGAAACAAGCCCAGCCCTAGTCTAGATATAGATCTGCACCTACCCATGGAGCCATTATATCTTTACTCCTCCTGTGGACAGCAACATGTGTCTGTGACAGGATGCTGAAGCCACATAGTGGCAATCCCTGCAGCTGGCACAAGAGTATGGGAGGATGTGAATCCTCCTGGGGTAAGTGTTGGAAGATGTCCCAGTAAGAGGGCCCCACATCCAGAGTCTACCTGGATCATGGTATGTCAAGAAGGAGTCCTGGGTACAAAGCAGCAGGTATGTGTGGTCAGAGCCATGTGTGAAACAAAGTCAAACTGCTGGTGTGGTGCTCCAAACAAGTCAGCTGCACTGAAATATTGTCCATGCAACTCCACTGGCTCCAGAGGAGTTCTGCTTGTCCCCAGCATTCCAGCTTTGTTCTGAAGAGACCATTACAGCGTGCTTCCAAACATCACACCTCAAAGTGATTAAAAGCTGTAATACAAAGTATTTATGACTCTAACTCATAGACGTCTCAGCATGATGCTCATATGTGCCGTATAACAAGTCAAAACTATTACTCTCTTATTTTCCCTTTCACACCTTGCTCCTTGCAGGCAGGCAGTGAGGTGAGCACAGTGTGGTGTTGGCTCTGTCCTTAGGCAGCCCTGAGTCACTCAGGCCATGCTCTATCCCCTTAGCAGTCAAGGGATTTTTCCCCTGCCTGTGATGAGTCACCTTGGTGGAAAAGTGCTGCTTCTGCTCTGACACAATATTGCTAACCTTGGGAAACAACAAACTTGCCAGAAACTCAGTGGGGACCTTGAGTCTTGGGAAGATTCAGGATGATCTTTATTTTACTACATGTTGCTTGGCTAACACTTACAACCCCTTTCGTTTCCCTTCTATGCAACCAGAAATTTCTGTTCTCTTCTCCCTTACCAACCTCTGCAAGTATACTTTCCCATCTTGAATTTCCTCTACCCAGCCCCAGGTAAAACCTGGGCACACTCATCCCAGATAGCTTTGGACATTACAGAAGCAAAGAGAAGGAAGGTCACACATGAGCCTTGTCTCTGGCTTTGCAGTTCTGGGCTGCTTCAAAAGCAAGACACGTATTGCCTTTAATTATTCAGTTAGGTAACTGCAAACTCTGAGCAAACCCTCTTAGCCTGCCTACACCTCTTGCTGCCCATCTTGCAGCAGGAGGAGGCTCTGGTACACTGAAACACCTCGGCATGGAGGTACACAAACAACCAGAACAACTAAAGCATTTGTCAGAAATAAAGTGCAGTAAAGGAAAGAGGAGAATAAAGCAATTAATCATTCAGAAGTGGGGGAGAGAGTGCACAGCAACAGAAACCTGAGAGCTTGTGCCACCTCCCTTCGAAGGGGTCAGCCCACTGACAGGAAGATTAAGGATGCTGATGGGAACTCCTCTCTTACCACAGTTACCTTGAAAAACACAGGACAATAATCTGCTTTTACAGGTCTGGCTGTGGCTTTCCCACAACACATCTTTTCCTCCCCTTACTCCAAATTAAACAGGATGATCCCATGCAGTGCTTGTTTTTCAAGTGCTGCTCTCACAACATTGATTAAAGCACCTGGACATTTATTGGATTTGCAGCTTTTCTGATGTGTGAAAAATGTTTTGTCCTGCTTAACTCGTACAGTCCTACATATGCCAGTATTTGTTGGTGTAACCAGCAGAGGTCCAGACCCTCTGCCACACTCCCTTCGCAAAGAGACCAACCGCTGAAGTCCCTGGAAGGCAGAACACTCATTTCAAAGCACCAGTTTTAATAATACACTTGACACTGGGCTTTAAGAGCCTGCACAGCTCAGAACTCACCTCTCCTTGACCCTTAGGAAGGACAATACACAGTGCCATAACCATAGCTTAAGCTGGATTGCTTGTTCCAGTGGCCCTGAATTCCTCCTGGAGTTAAATTCTCCAACCATCCCCACGGTTTATTGACTGAATTTGGTAGCCATAGGATGGGGAAAAGCAAGAAGAGGGGGGAAAGGAAGAAGGGGAAATCACTTAGTGACAACGTCAGTGCTGTCCTTTTTCCCCATACAGGTTAGGACTTTTTTACTTGCTTTTCTTTTACAGCCCTGTAAGTTTTCCACCTGAGCAAGAAAAGAATGACTGCTCCTCTTACAGGCAATCTGACACTACTCTCTTATACCAATGCTTTATTTTCATCTTGTTTCCTAACACCACAGAGAAGGCCCTCATGGGTCCTGGACAAGGGGACAGGTGTGTGTTTGTGATGACATCACTTGCATTAGTATTTGCTCTCAGTTCTCTGTGCTTGAATCAGCTTGGCCTTTTTACATTTTCAGAAAGGGCCATTCCCTGTGGTGGTTTCCCTGCTGGAAGATAATTTGTGCTGTACACACAGGAACCTTCTGTGCTGTAAAAGCATCAGCTCCTGAAATGCTCGATCCACATCTCCACAAGAAATACTCCCTGTTTGCAGTTCTTAGCACCTGAGTAGTCAAGTCTCAATTCAGTGCAATTAAAAATACCCAGCTCCTGCTTGACTCACTTCACTCATTCTTCTTTTTTCTAGGCTGAGGTTCTCCAAAGGACATAACCAGGCCTAACTAGGGGAAGAAGAGCAAAAACAGGACAGCAATTGTCCCAGCTGTCAGCTGAAATACATTTTAGGATCCTAAGAGATAATGCTGCCATATAACTGTGAAGAAACCATGCTGTTGTGTTCTTAATAGCTTGTCATGATATTTGATATATTTGATATATATATCAAATAAATATATTTGATATTTGACTGGGATAAAACATACAAGATAAAACACCAGTAAAGTAACATAAAATCAGTTTTAAAAATCAGTAACCTAGTATCTTTCTAAAGACTCAAATAAATAATTACATTCAAAAGACAGATTTTAAGTGGAAGTCAGTAACAGGTGGTGCTGCAAACAAAGCTTTAACCCAGGGTACTCTGGATACCACTTATGTTTTGCAATTAACAGGCCCCAAATGAACATTAAGCTTGCAAAGATGCCTGACCGAGATGGTGGCGTATCTACAGTCCGTAGCACTTATATGTGCTTTTTCTCTCCATCCAAGCAATAGCTTTTTTTCCATCCCTATCCTAATAGCTACAGCTATGGGGTTTGTTTCTGGCTTGTTTGGGGGATTAAAACCATCTCAGGATAATCTCTTTTTGTTTTATACACTGAAAGAAGCATTAGGAATGAAAATTAATGCCACAATGGATTTCATTAATTACACCAGAAGGCTTGGTTTGCTGTAGGAGACGCTTCCAGCAGAAGGTGCTCACAATCAGTTTAAATATTAAACGTCTTCCTGTGTTTGAATAGCAATGATCAAACCTGTGAAAGCACACAGAGAACAGGGGATTCTTTTAAAAGGGCCAATACTGTTCAAATCATCATGCCTTATGGCAAGTCCCACTGCCAGCAGTGGAAGCGTCAGCTGATTGCAAGGACAGAAGGTCTGACAAAATGGGTGCCTGGGGGAATTGCTATGAGATAAAGAAGGTGTCACCTCTGGGTCACCAGTGCAAAAGAAATCGCAGTTAGAACAGTCAAAAGCTCACTTGCTGGCATGGGTGCTGGCAGGCAGCATGGCACGAGGTACCGGGTCTCTGCCTGGTCTTTGAACAGCAGGTGCTCACACGACAAAATGCAGCCCTAGCACTAACTGACGCTGCCAGGAACAGGGCCAAGTATCCACAAGCCCTGCTTGCAGGGCTGTCGGAGGGTACCCCACAACAGGCTGAGTCCCAGTGGCAGATGGCCAGAGGGAACTTTGCATTCCCACAATTCATGCTCTAACCGTTATGAATAATCAGCAGCTCTCCAGGGCCCTGGGTCTGAAGCGAGGCAGGAGCCAGCCCTCCTAGAAAAATGCATCAGCCATCAGCTGTTCCAGCCAAAAACACCCTTGGATTGATGTGCTGGGGCAATTGCATACACATCAACGTGGTCTAAGTGGACCTTCTGTATGAGGAAGGAAAGCAAGCCCCACGGAAACACGGTCTGAAGAGAGAAGCTGTAAAAGTCATCATTTATTTCTGCAGAATTCACAAGTCAAAAGAACAGGTTTCCTTATTTTGTTCAATGACTGCCAAAGCCTTGCTTGAAATTGAGGACACCTCACAATACATAGCTTTACTCTGCCTTACTCTGCCTCAGCTTCCCTCCTGTGCCCAAAACTAAAGTGATGCCTGGATCTAAGGGAGGAGAAAGTCAACAACGCCAAACCTGAAAAACCACCTGGTCCTGTCCCCTGTAGAGTCTCCTTCCAAAGAGAAGAGTGCTATGCGCAGAACTACAGCTCCCAACGTTCCCTAAGGTTGCTTTTAAGGCAAATTTTACCCGGGAACATCCTAAACAATCTGAAATTGCACGTAAACCCCGGTGGTTGTTGGAAGCTGTAGTCAGCTCTCCAAGGGAGAACTACTGAGCAGAGAGACCCCGATTGCTGCCCAAAAGAGCCGGGCCAGAGATGCGGAGGAGCAGGTAGCGCCCTCGGGGGTGCCAGGCTCCCTCCTCGCGCTGTTCAGGACACCCCGATGCTGTGCGGGCACTCCTGGCCTGCAGCAGGAACAGGGGCACCCGCTGGCAGCGGGCGCTGCGGGCTCCGTGCCCCGCACGAAGCTCCCCCGGACCCGGCCGAGCTCCATGAGCGCGGTGCGCGGGCGCGGCCGCCGGCGGAGCCCGGCGCCGGGGGGCGGGGGCCGGGGGCGGCGGCGCTCCCCGCCCAGCAGCCGCAGGCACGGGCCGGGCGCGGGGGGCGCAGCGGAGCGGCGGCGGCGGCGCGCAGGGCCATGTCGGCGCCGTGCCTGCGCCTGCCCGCCGCCGGGTCAGCACCGGCGGAGGCGGACAGCGCCGGCGGCATGGAGCCGCCCGCCGCCGCCGGGGCCGGGGCCGCCACCCTGGAGCTGGCCCTGGAGGAGGAGCTGGCGCTGCTGGCCGCCGCCGGGGAGCCGCCGGAGCCGCCGCCAGCCGCCGCTGCCCGCGACCCCGAGCTGCTCTCGCTGATCCGGCAGAAGGAGAAGGACCTGGTGCTGGCGGCGCGGCTGGGCAAAGCGCTGCTGGAGCGCAACCAGGACATGAGCCGCCAGTACGAGAGGATGCACAAGGAGCTCACCGACAAGCTGGAGGTGAGGCCCCGCCGCCCTCTCTTCCTCCCCCGGCCCGCAGCGCTCCGCAGGGCTCCCCGCTTCAGGGCCGCGGCCCCCGGGGTCTCCACCCGTGGAGCGCGGCCCCTTCTCCGCCAAACCCCGGGGGCGGCAGGCAGGCACCGAGCTCCTGTGGACGTGATGGGGAAGGAAGGGTCTAAGAAAAGCGCTCTTTAGGCCCCGGGGGGGGGGGGAAATCTGCTGCTCGCCCCCCTCCCCGGCTGCGAGCTGGCAGATCGGCCTAGGTATGGGCTGCAGCACCCTGCTTCGAGAGGTGCCTGCGGGTGCTGTTTTGCCCCAGGTACTACCTGGGCGAGGAGACGTGCGCTGTGCTCGGCTCATCTCGTCACGGAAATGCCTCGGAAGTTAAATTTGCACAGCAAGTACCGGGTTACAGAGCGTATGTAACCCTTGTGCTTAAGCTGTTGCAGCTACGGTATTAGGCAGAGCAGGAGATAAGCCCTAATGATACGTCTCTGTTAGCTGGCTGCTCTGAAAAATACCTACATGTATCTAGAGAGAGCTGTTTGCCAGGAACTCAGTGGATTGATCTATTTATTGATTTCTGAGGATAAAATAGAGCTATTACAAAGAAAAAGACTTGTGCAGGCAGCCTCCTTTGGAACAACTCTCTTGCACAACGATGTAAGAAAGCCACTATTACCCCCACTATTTTTCTCAGAGATGCTCTTGAAAATGTCTTCTAGAAAGCAGTTCTGTGTAAAAATCAATGAACAGCTGGTGGATTGAGAGATACTCAGAGAGCAAGAAACTCCCCTATTGAGGACAGCAGTCTGCCCTATCATCACTACATGCAATGAAACCCTCTCCAGCTCTGCAGCTGGGGTGAGGGCAGGTGAGGCTGCTGGGAGAGGAAGAGGCAGGAGGAATCATTCAGCACATCTGGGCTGGTTTAGCCTCCCTCTGTGCCCCACTGCCCTGTTCTGGTTTCTCCACCACAAGAGAATAAACTTGATATTCTTCCTCTCCCCCTAACTCCAACCTTTGCGATGGCCCTTTAGCAGAGCTATATATAGTGCAGATTTCAGTAAAGGACTAAAGTGATTTTTAGATGACTGACAAGTCTTATCGGTGGCTTCTAAATCACATTTGGGTATGTCTGGGGAAGTTGGCTGCAATGCTGTTCCTCAGCAGGCTGAAGTTTCATCTTCCATTTAGAGAAGGCCCTGGATCTTTCTAAACGTTGCCTAGCAGTGAAGGAGGCAGAGCTGTAAGAGACAGCACTTCCAGTGCACTGTTGAAAGTGAAATTGTAGCTGCTCCAGCCACACTAAGGCTACAAACAATGGTTGTCACGGGCCTGCTGCTGGGAACTGGTGCCTACTTGCTAAATTAGCAGTATTTATAATACTCATTGCTCTTGTTTGCAAGGGGTGCTCTTTTAGTGTCTGAAATATAGGGAAATACTTTTGCTTTGGGCCACTGTTTTTATCAACCTTCCCTTGCAATTGAGGGTTTTCTAGAAAGTCCTGAATTTGCAGAAGGATTTGGAATGACACAAGCAGGGTGCTGCTACACGGGGCTGGAAGGAGCATAGGAAAGGAGTTGGAGATAAGGTCAAGAAAGAGAATACACAGCATCTTTTGCAGAGCAGAAGAGGTGGAAGACTGAGTGATAATGCAGGCCAGAGGGCTGCTGGAGAATTGTAGGGCTTTGACATTGAGACCTGCTCAGGAAGGTGGCAGACCCTGCAAGGGAGGCTGTGTGTCATCAGCAGTAGGTACCCAAGGGAAACATCCCCCTCACAGCCGGTGTTTCTAACAAGCAATAAAAAGCCATTTCACATGAAAGCACTGCAATCTTCTTTCCCTCCTAGCAGGTTTATTTCCCCCTCCCATCATAAGTCCCATGGGAATTGCTCACTGGGAAATGATATCCTGGGAAAAATGGGCAAGTGCTGCCAGTGCTGGGCCAGTGGTTCCTGTTCTTTGCTAAGACATGTTCCTAAAAGGCTGGTGAATCCAATAGAGAGTAGTAAGTTATACTAGGGAACAGAAGACAACCAGCACGAGGCGGCTACTGCTTTCAGGTATCCCAGCGAATCTTGGGACATGCCCATGTCCCCAGTCTGTGACTGTTCTGCAAGTATGCGCATGGCTTCAGTCACCAGAGGAAATTCAAGCTCAGAGCTTCAGAGCAGGGATTCTTTCAAACAGGCCCAACATACGTCTCTTTTGACCCGATTCTGCAGGTTTCAGTCAAGCCCTCATTTAACTGAGCCTTTAAAACACGCAGAAGTTCCACCAAATTCAGTGTCCCTCATTTTCCAGCCAGTACTAAGCAGAGGCTCCAGAACTGAGAGTGGTTTCTAAGAAACCTGCAGCCCAGAACATGCATGTACATAATGTCTATAGCAACTACTACACTGCTTTCCTTGCCATTCCAGAGCAGACTCCATCAAACAATAGAGTTACTGTGCACCATCAAACTCTCAGACAACTAATTGGGTCAGGAATAGAAGGAGTAAATGGATAGATGATTCAACTGTTGTTCATAAGACCCATATGACAAGAGAGATGCCTCATCTACATTCCTCATCAGCAGTAAGGATACAGCTTGTGTATCCTTTTGACTATAAAGGCATTTTTAAAGAGAATTATGCCACTTCCCACTGAAATATTGCTTTGGAGTTAAGCTAGGTTCTGCTAAATCAATTGGCCTGCCTGACCTCTATATTTCACTCATTGACATGCAGCCTGCTTTACTCTTCTGGCAGTTGTTTCAGTAAAAATTCAATGTGCTGATCTCCAGAGGCCAAGGACAGGCCAATTGCTGGGAATGGAGAGCAAGTTCTGTGCCAGTGACCTGCCCCACCATGGGACTGCCACCTCTATGGCACTGTCACGCTCTAGTACCATTCTCTTTCCTGCACAAAACATTTCATCACTAAGCATAGAGGAGGAAAAAGAGGCAGTATTCACTTTTTTCTTCCCTTCCTAACCTCTTCTCTCCCCTTATCTAGCACCTAGAACAAGAGAAACATGAACTGAGGAGGCGATTTGAGAACAGAGAAGGAGAATGGGAAGGAAGGGTGTCTGAACTGGAAAGCGATGTGAAGCAGCTGCAGGATGAGCTGGAGAGGCAGCAGGTTCACCTGCGGGAAGCTGACCGTGAGAAGACACGGGCTGTCCAGGAACTCTCCGAACAGAACCAAAGACTCCTGGACCAGCTCAGCAGGGTGAGTCACTGTGGCACGGCATGGCACGGGCAGGCACTCGGCCACCTGGGGCAGAGGAAAGGCTCCCTGTCCTGCTATAAACCACCTTGCAGGCAAATGAGAAGGAAAGCTTCCTCTAAGGGAAAAAAAGGGTTCTGCATCCAGTCAGATATCCCTATAAAGCATGCTGCCTTTAGAGTGAATTTTACACCTTTAAGGAGTGCTGCATGTCATTGGCAAGAGTTATGTTTCTGGGTCGAGTGGTCATTTACTGCCCAAATGTCTCAACTGGTTTTGTATCTCAAACCAATTTACAAAATCTGCTCCTACTTTACAAACGGGCTGAACAAAGGTAGCACGCAAGAAAAAGGCTGATCTGTGACAGCAAGGTGAAAGGGGTTTGCTAGCCTCCCTTTTCTGACATACATTGGCTACAATGTTGTAGAATGGAACATGCCATGTCATTCTCTGATGGTGTGTCCCTGAAGATGACTTTGCCGTGCTTAGATGTGTGAGAACCTGCTGGAATTCCTCAGAATGGCACATTCCAGCAAAGAGCTTAACTTGCCTCTGAGTGAAAGAGGATTTATAATGAGACTGTTACAAATCAGCCAGAGGGACTGAATATTTCCAGCATGGTTGTGAATTGTAAAATGCCCCAGAATTTTACCTGTCTTCTGGAATTAAACCCTTGGCTTTCTCTCCCCACCGGACAGTTACTATAAACCATAATTTTCATGTTTGAGAACACAGTCCAACAGATTTTCTTCTCACTAATTGCTTATCCCCAAAAGAGCACAGAACAAAAGCACACACCACAGGCTCATGCTGAAGAGGCCCATCTAATGTTGTAAGAGCATATTTCAGGCTAGGTTCCATCAGAGGTGAGGCTCTGGGCCTGACACAGGGATTGCCTAAGGGCAGGTCAAAACCTTGGTCACAACACTAGGACCAGAAGGTTCTGAGAGGGGCCAAGTGTAGAGGTCTGGGTATTCAATCTGGGTATGCAGTTTTCCCATGCTTCTAGAGGTGGGAAGAGCAGGTCTTGGGTATAACACTCTACACTGGCACTTGAGAAAATCACTCCTCATTCTGCTATAGGTTTTCTTGTCAAGTACTAAACAAGCCACTTAGTCTGCAGATTTGTTTTTTACCTGGGTTAAAACAAAAAACACTACCCCCTAAAAAACCAAACCCCAACAACGCCCTTAACTCAGGAACACTGCTAAGTCTATTCTTGTTTTTAAAGCAGTATCTCCTAGGTGTAGCGGATGAGCTAGTGAAGCTCTTTCACCTCTTCTCTAGACAGAGCATGTTTCACATACAGCATGGATGACAGAGTCCACCAAACCCTTGCAGGGCTCCTGTGTTGTGTCAGGTGTCCTATCCATGGCTAAGAACATGTCTCCCATCAGATTTGGTGACCCTCAGTGGCTTGCTGTGTATGCATGATTTCCATCACCAGGTGGGAAATACAAGATTTGTTATGGCCCCGGCATGAGCACAGAAAGAAAGATCAGTCTCGAAGATAGGAAAGGAAAACCAGACAGATTGCTTTAGGCTTTAAGCTGCATGGATTATCCTTACATGACACCTGTGCTACAGGAGCCTCTCACAGCCTAGATGCTCAGACAGCTGCTCAGCTAAGCCTTCTGCAAAAGAACCACCCAGTTAGACCTACCAGCGTGCAATGTCCAAGCATGGGGTTTCTTCCTTTAACTCCTTATTACTACCAAAAAGAGTCTTCCTCACCCACTTCAGAACTGCCACAGCTGGGAAAGACCTGAATCTTGGTGCTGCTCTCCCTGTCCCAGCTTGGAGAAGAGGCCTGTTGTTCTCCAACAAGGTGTATACACTTGTGGAAGCACAACTCAGTGCTCATTGAGCATGTCACCTAGCAAAAACTTGCTAGTAACTCAAGTATAGCAGTGGATCCAGCAAGGGTGTAAACAGTCTTCCTAGAGTCAGGAGAAATTGGAGCAAACTGAAACAGAGTTGGGAACAGTCTGTTATCATTCACCCAGAGCTTTAGTTGAGGCTTTTTAAAATCCCAGCATCATCTTAGTACTTGTTTACTGGCTGCTCAGTATTCCACATTTGCTGCTCCAGAGTGCAGTCATAGTCTTATTTGTGTGGTCTCTCATTCTGAAGAAGTTATGCATGTAAAACCTGAGGCAGCTTAAACCCTGCACCCACATAGTTCTGGCTCCTGTTACTACTTAGGCTTTTGGTACATAAAAAGGACAAACACAGCTGCATGGATGTGCTTGCCTACGGTCATATTGCCATAGGCTGGAGTCTTGCTAAGGATTGTGAACTGAGCACTGAGAGAGAAAAAACCCTGCAAAAGAAGTGCTGTTACAGCTTCTGTGGAGTTTGTGTTGCTGGTGTTCTTCTTGAGTTCCTGGCTCTGTATTTTCCACCTGCATTTTGTGCCTCAGTGGGTTGTTTGAAACGAAAGGGTTATGAGAAGTCTGGAATAAGGCAATGAAAGCCTTATTCAAAGCCTCAACTCTGCTCCATCTGACACTGTACCTTGCTTCCCTCAGGACAGGAAAACAGGTTTCTCTCTGGCAAGAGTCATTCTACACTAGCAGGTACTAGCTCTTTAAACTGGAATTTCTAGTTTATAGCAATTAACACCTTGTGGCCCAGTTTCACAACACTTGAGCATCTCTCCCCTGGGGAAGGCATTCCTGTGGCACTAGGCTTTGTATGTCAAATGACAGTCTCAGCCTCATGAGCTACCAGCCTGCACAGTCCAGCTTTGCTTCTTCTGAGGCTTCAGCTCTTTTACCTCAAAGCAGGACAGCATCCACCATCTCCTCCATCCTCCCCCTCCTCCTTTCTGCTGCTGTGACATTCTTTCATCAACTAATTAAGCTTTAGGACAGATTTTAACCCTGCCTTCCCCAGAGATGAAAGGCCAACTCAGACACATACATTCTTCAACTAAACCTGGCACAAATGCTAGCCAACCAAGCACACGTTCCCATGCAGCCACACAAGGATAGCAAAGGGCTATCTATATCTACAAAGGTCTGTCTTGCAATTAAAGCACAGGTCTGGAAAAATCCATCCTCAATTCTGGCAAAGACTGATAAGGAAAAAAGGATAAGGGTTTTAAGTGTGTTCCAGTCTCTAAAAACAGGGATAACTCTATTGCCTCAGAGTTGCCAAGAGGCTGAAATAAGGTCTGTTAAATGATTTGAGGTCTTGAGATTATGATCTAGAACTTTACATACCTAATAATAGTAAGTAGACTTTTTACAAGGGCGTGTAGTGATAGGACAAGGGGGAATGGCTTTAAACTGAGAGAGGGTTGATTTAGATTAGATCTTAGGCAGAAGTTCTTCCATGTGAGGGTGCTGAGGCACTGGCAGAGGGTGCCCAGCGAAGCTGTGGCTGCCCCATCCCTGGCAGTGTTCAAGGCCAGGTTGGACACGGGCTTAGAGCAAGCTGCTCTAGTGGAAGGTGTCCCTGCCCCTGTGGCAGGGGCTTGGAACTGGATGAGCTTTAAGGTCCCTTCTAAACCAAACCACTCTGTTATTCTATGATAAGGAACTGCGCCTCGTCTTGAAATACAGCCTTTGGTGTGGTTTGCTGCTTTTAGAATGGAGATAATTGCCCGGGATTATAATAGTATTAAACTATGTGGAAATTAGGTTGGCTGGACTGGGAGCACATAGTGAAAGACATGATTCAGATGCCAAAGATCAAGTTTAAGATCTCCACAGTAACCTTACTTTTTAATTTACTAAGCGATGATTAAAATCCCTTCTGCATGTGGAGTTGATTTCCCTCCCCTGCCTCAGCACAGCAAAGCACAGAGCAACTCAAAGCAGTGTGTTCACACAAAGCTAAATGCTGATTTTACCTAGAACCTCAGGTACATAGCACTCACTGTAAATTCTTAAAGATAGAGTCAAGTACAGTTTTGCCAAGGCTTAGGAATTTTGTTCTGTTTCCAGCTCCTTTAGTCTCTCCCACCTGTTTGAGTTACCCTTTTGGAAGAAAATAAACTAATCCTATGCTTTCTGTCCTTTTAAGTTGTAAAATCTGTGGGGAGCAGGTATAGGGAAAGGTCTCCTCTTACATGTGCCCAGAGCACCTAACATAGCAAGAGTCTTGTCCCCACCTTTGGGCTTCTAAGAGCTGTTGATGCAAGTAACAACAACAAACAGGCCTCTTCCTATAACAAGGCAACATATTACTACTTTGTCAGGAAGTGAATGAAAAAAGACTTTCACACCGTCTCCAAGTGGCTTCACCAGATGGCTTTCCCACACATTTCCTGCTATCAAGCTCTGGGCTCCTGTAGCTGTTTGCTGCATGTAGCTTGGGCGAGGGTGTATCCTTCCCAGTTCAGTTGGCCTTCTTTTATGGTATTGAGCACATAAGGAAGTGATTTCACAATGTCAAGCTCAGGTAGCTTTTGCAATGAAAACCTGTTTTCAGTGGCAGGAAGAAGGGTGACACCTTGCCCCGCTGAAATGGCTCTTTGTGTTTAGAGGAGTGCTTGGCTGCCACGCCATCCCTCAGAGGGGCCCTCAATCACCAAGTTCTTATATTCACTCAGCATCTAGTGCCAACATCGTGCTACAAAGAATGAGGTGTTTCAGTCAGTCCCTCTGGTGCAGCAAGAAAATGATCAGCCAGCCCACAAGTCTCCAAAGGAGGTTTTACTTGCCACAAAACCTTCCTTTCAGTATTCTTTCAATTGAAGGAGTTTTGTTTCTAACGTCACACGTTGCAACATGCAGTGTATCTTCAGAACACTGGCAGGCACTGCCTTTGGCTGGAGAAAACCATGGTTTTGAGAATGAGCTGACTATATTATATACTCCTTTCCAAATCACTTACTTTAAATACATCATTTTGTGGTCAGCCACACACAAGAGAGGCAGCTCTGTTGTTAGCTATTGATCTGAGGAGGTTTTTGTGAATGGTTGGTTGTTGGGTCTGTCAGTATAGGAACAATGCTAGCTTTAAGAAAACCAGACTAATCAATGGAAAAAGCT